CAGCAACCTACGCATGGAATGTCGTGCTAGTTCTCACACACAATAGCCCAGGGCCAGCTCCGCCCTCTGAATGGCTGGTTGAGATGCTGAAATCCATGAGCCAAGACAATTTTGTAAAATGCTTGTGACACTCTGATCCATTTAGTGGGCAAGGAGAAGAGCTATCCATGAGGCACAGTTCCAATCGCCACGAACTACTTCCGCGTTCATAAAGAGTTACATGTCTGATCTTCAAGAGCTTCCGGTTAGGAAACATCATCATCCCCCGGTCCATAATGGTGAAGTCAAGTGGACTACTCCACCAGCAGGTTCTGTTAAGATGCATGTTGATGAAGTAGTTGGTAGACATTGTGGGAGGGGAGCAATAGCTGCGATATGCCGGGATGCTTTAGGTTTGTTCTTGGGGGAGTCAGCAAATTCAATCCCCGATCTAGTGTCGCCAGAGATTGTCGAGGCTATGGCCAGCGATGAAGCTTTGTCCTTGGCTATGAATCTTTTCTGCAGCAGGATCGTCATAGCTACAGACTACTCCCTCCGTTCTGAATTACTCGTCATAGAAATAGATATATCTAGATGTATTTTAGTTCTAGATATATCCACTTTTGCGACGAGTAATTAGGAACGGAGGGAGTATATAGCAAGAGCGAATCATTTAAAGGGATAATTCCTGGGTAATTCAAGATCCATTGTATATTTTTTTTGAGTGGAAGATTAGTTGTACTACCTCTGTACGAAAATATAAGATGTTTACAGAGGGAGTATATATGAGGTGAAGAAAAGGATGCAAGAATTGATGTGAGCTAACAAAAGAAGTCGCCATGCTTGAATTTCCGTTAGACCAACTATCATATTCACGAAAGCATTTTAAGTTAATAAATTGTTTTCAATGCTGAAAAAAAAACGTCATGCAAAAAACATAACTTAGCTTATTCGTGTGCACTTGGCACCTTCAGATCCTCAACTAGCAAAGTAGGTACCTTATTCACGTCTTTTAATCGTGTTAAATTTTACGACTGAGTTTCTTATATGAAGTGACGGCTGGAGCCGCAGGGAACTTGTCTTAACAGTGCAACCCCACCGGCCCTGGATCCTTTGATAGTACTCCAAAATGACCCATCCCTTCTCTTCTTCCGAGTAGCTACAGCGTTGGAGGTTGAACTTAAAAAAAGTTTGACTTAAGACAATTCTAAAACTTCAATTGTTTTAGAATGGAGGAAGTCTGTCACCCATTGCAAGGTATAATCATGGAGAATGAGTCGGTCTGGCAGTTTGAGGAAAGGGGAAAACAGTGCGACAGGTTTGCGGCGACGGCAGTGCTATGTAGCCCACCCACCCCCGCGCGGTTTTAGAGGAGGTCGTCTGATATTGGGTGAAGAAAGATTTTAAACACCACCCTGGAAGCAACGTTTTCGTAAAATCAAAAGGACGCCGATAAGTCCTGAATGTTCAGGACTTGACTATGGCAAATCTAACATTTTTTGTGGTTATTTATGTTTGTCGATCATGGTATGTTTAGTTTGTAAGCATGGCAAATCCGCTCTCAGTTTATTTTTTGTCAGGAAATTGATGTGCCTGCCAACTACAATTGCCATCCTCGCGTCAACTAAAGTTGCCATAAAAAATGTTCGATTTGTCATGATCAAATCCTGAAGGTTCGGATTTTATCATTTCCGGATCAAGAAGAAAAGAAGAGAACTTCCCACCAGTTCAACTTTCAACACATGTTCTGCTGTAGAATGACCTCTTTTTCCTCCAAAGCTAAAGGAGCTTCCTTTTCTTCCTGGCAAAGTGAAGAAATATTACAAAGGCAGAGAGAAATGACAAACTATTGATGGGCAGCGATGCCAACTTTACTTAGCTGATTTTCTTTCCACAATGTCCCATGCTTGCAGAGTTGTAATGGAAAACACAAAGCCAATCATTCATGAGCAGAGCTGCAACAACACCCTATTAGTTTGAAATACCCCTGCATTTTACTCAGGGGCGGAGCCAGAAAATTTAGTCATTGGGTTCACTTGTTGACTAGTGAGGATTTAATACGAATTAGTTAAGCGTAAAAGCTATTTTTACTCCATTTTACAGCACCCAAAATAATAGAACAAATAGAAAAATGATAGTGCATACTACATATTTTGTTATGTTAATAATAGTTGAAGAGTATAAAACATACCAGTTGGATGAAATTCTAAAACCACTTGTTCAGATACTATAAATAAAGTAGTACCGAAATAATTTCATAGCTCTGGTGTAGCTCCTCGTCTTTCTGAAAAGAGTAAAAACAAGATAAGTTAGTTTGACCAGTTTAATATAAGTACCATCGAGCCAAGAAAAAAAAGGAAAGTTGCTCATATTTTAGAGTGTCTCCTTTTTATTTGTCTCATTATCTTAAAAAGACCAAACACTGGATCATTACCAATGGTAGAAAACATGTATTTCTTCCCATAGCAAGTTACCCATTTTATTGCGCGGTTTTTCTTTGACATCATTAAATCACCGTTGAGTATCTTCAAATTTTTCTGTGATAATCAAACTTAGCCGGTGGCTTCTAATTCCTGCAGTTAAATATTTGCGTGTAATCTCAACTTGCTCCTGGGGTTTAGTTGTGTATTACGAAATTCTCTGCCAATCCGTCGGATCATTAGGCAACTGATATAAATTAATTTCTCCAAGGTGTGAGAAGACTACTCGCAATGGCATATTTGATGAATTTTGCCTACATCTAACAGGTCATCTTAACATGTCTGCATCTTTGTCTTGATGTGGTGATCGATTTGTCTTTGAAAAATATTGTTCCATGGTCTAGGTCAATCAAAATCCGTGATTTACATTAGCAAACTAGGGCAAAAATATTGTCATACTAGAGTATTATGCTAGACAGAACATACACAAGAGGAAAGGTGTGACCGTGCGATCTCACTAGTCTGTACCTTCAATATGGAATTGAATTGACGGCTTGCCGCTGGGGTCCGATGATGGATCGATGAACGAACAGAAGAGATCGAGAGGAGAGAGGCCAGAGGTGAATTGGCGAATTGGACGAGTAAAGGTGTGGCGGCGGCTGCCTAGGAATCGTACGAGTACAGTTCACGATGGAGAGACCGGACCTGCGTAGTTGTGGGCACCGAGGCAATTTACTTATGGGCCTTTGGGCCCTTTTAGCCTATCCACCAAGGCAGTTCACGAGATTGATGGGGTCAGTCTAATCTTTTTACTGGGTTCAGGCGTACAAAGTACCTGCCGATACGTACGTAGCTACCAGGTTTCGTTGGGTTCAACTGCACCCAACGATACAACGGTGGCTCCGCCACTGATTTTACTGGCGCCTCTCTCTACAGCAGGCTCGCTGCTCATCGCCAGAGAAGTACACCATGTGGCGAGCGGCCGCCTCCCGCCTCCTCATCCCCCGGCCGTCCTCTCCGGCAGGCGCTACAGCGGCATGTACTGTGCGGAACCTCCGCCGTCTCACATCGTTGAGGCCGGAGCCGCGCCCAGCAGAGGCTGAGTTCACGTCGGCGGAAGCTCGGCGAATGGTGCGGCTTGTTGGACTCGAGGTGCTCAAGAGGCGGCTGCGGAGCCGGGAGGACGAGGTGGTACCATACGCCGAGTTCCTAGACGCGTGCGTGGATGCCGGCGCGGCCCCGACGCGCCGCCAGGCAGAGGCACTCGCGGGGGCGATGGACCAGTCCGGCAGCGTGGTGCTCTTCCGGGGAATGGTCTACCTCCATCCCGAGAAGGTGACGTTTAGAGCATTCTTGGTCTTCGCTTTAGTACCTGAACCTCAACTAGGTTTCTCAATCTTTTCTCTGTTTTTCAATAAAGTTCATATTTGCTACATTTTTCATTTTTGTCATGCCCTAACTGAGGATGCGAACCTGCCGCCACAGTATCCCAATACATCTTCAAGATGTCAAACTAGACTCATTGACATCTGAGAGACAAGAATATGCATTAACAAAGAATTATCAACTGGGAAGGCAAGCGAGTAAACGGTATCGAAGTTTGAGAGTGTATTCCAACCGGTTTTGAAACCAGGGCACAATTTCAGGGTCGAAATGTGCACTACTCAACACATAGTACAAACTGAAAGAATTCAACATAGACTAAAAATGCTCTTGCAATAGTTGAACCTACTACTTAGCTATTTTTGTTATCGTTGACAATCAGTAAACCGTCAGCCTCCACCGCACCCCTCAATGTCTAGACTAGATAGGATCTAAAGGTAGATAGATGATGGAGGCAACTTCTTGGTGATGCTATCTCCAAATGCTTGTTAGCCTTTCATACCTGTTGGTTGTGGATTTGATCTCCTCTCTGCCGAGATCTTAGGATCCTTATATAGTCGATTTTGTGTCATACATAGTTATTCACTGCCCATCGTCGGTTATACAATTTTCAGCTGACACATTTATATTTGTTACCGTCCGCCATTAGATAGTAGACCTGGTTAGAAGCGCAGTGCCGCCTGTGCTCGAGATAGAGAATGATGCGAGAAGGGAAGAGTTTGAGCTACTGAAGAAAAAGAAAGGAGAGATCGACCGGCAGGCGTGCAAGCAAGTGAGGCGAATCCTCTGGTCTGGCTTCTGGTTCGTGCAAGCCACGGTCGGCCTCTGCTTCCGCTTCACATTCTGGGAGTTCACGTGGGACGTTGTAGCGCCGATCACCTTCTTCGTGGCCGGCGCCCACCTGCTTTCCGGCTACGCCTATTTCCTCATCACCTCGCGCAACCTGTCATATCGAACCTACATGGAGAGGCTGTTTAAATTAAGGAGGAGAAGGCTTTGCACGAAGTATGGTTTTGACATGGAGAAGTGCCTGGAGATGGAGAGGCACATGAGGTGTCCTCTGGGAGGTGATTATTCTCAAGGTAGTAAGCTTCATTCATAAGTATGGCACCGGCCACCAGCAAATTTCTCAGTTGATTGTTGACCTTCTTTTAACACCAAATTTTATACCGACTGATCAACAGCTGCTACCAAAGCGATCTTCGGAGAAATCGAGCGACGGATGCAGGACGAGGTGATCAGCCATGGCGAGCCTCTCGGTGCGCTGATGGAGAGTGGCCTCATGCCCACAGAGGCGGAGGCACTCGTGCAGAAGATGGACGAAATGAGCTTGGTGCTGCTCGTCAGGGGAAAGACCTACCTCAACCACAAGAAGGTGATATCACAAAATTGTTAGGTTCTCCATTTACACCTCTCTCTAATACCTAAAACCATGTACCAAAACACTTCAAATTCTCTAAGGGAGACTAATATTGCAGGGCAATGATATATAAATTCACATGATGAAAATAATATCATCAGATCTGTGGTCAAAATATCACCATAATATATCACAACTTTATAACCTTGCACTAACATATTCATATAACAGATCAGCAATCAAAGTTACATATTGAAAAGTTTGTTCAGATCACGTGCTGGCCAATAGTATCTGTGTGTCATCATATCAATTGCACATTGGACCAAGTATCGTGCCTGTTTTTTCACTTTGCCATAGTTTATAAAAAACTGCTCACTTTGCACATTGCCACATTGGAGTTGTTAACTTTGCTTTGCTGTAGCGCCACATTTCAGGAGTGACTTTTATGCCATGGCTTAAAAAGTCCCAATAGCTGTTTCATATAAAATGAATAATATCAATGTTTCTTTTTGGAACCGGGCTTTACCCCTTTTCACTGCAAATGAACGGAAATACAACCAGTTCCAGAAACATTGTCAGGGGGATAATATCAATGAATTGTTCCATTTGCAGATTGCGGACCTTATCAGAAGGGCCATGCCGTTTGCGCTCGCCCCAGAGGACGACGTGAGAAAAGACGAATTCAGACAACTTCAGACGAGGATGCAAGAGATCAACGGCATGGCGCACAGGCATGCCGTGCGGATTCTATGTTTTGGCTTCGCATCATTCATACTCCAGTTTGCCCTCTTCTTCCACCTTACGTTCTGGGAGTTCTCTTGGAGTATCATGGAGCCGCTCGCCTACTTCTTGGCCGGACTCCAGCTGATTTTCTGCTACGGCTATTTCCTGCGTACCGCGAGCAATCCGACGTTACAGGACTTCAAGCGTAGGCTGTTCTTGGCAAGGAGGAGAAAGCTATGTGCAAAGCTTAGTTTTGATATGGACAGGTACCTGAATTTGCAGAAACACTCTAGGGTTCCTCCTGAAGGTGATTATTGATCTCAAGGACGTAAGCATTATGAGTTGTAACTTGTAATACCAGACCAGAAATGTCTCAGTCATTGCCTGACGCTGATAGTGTCCTCTCTAGATTTTAGAATGACTGCCTTTGGGCTCCTTTAAATAACGGAAGAATTACATTACTGTTTGCTAACAAAGCGATCCTGACAAGAGTCAGCAATAACCTACCAGATTAACCTTGGAGCCGTATATGTACCAAATTCCCCGGGTAAAGAAGCATTGCTCTAAGTCATGAGAACACCAAACCCAGGGAACCAATCTCAATTGGACGGGGAAGTCAATGTACAAAGCAACTGAGTTCAAGTCTGTGCCGATGCGAGTTCAGGTTTCTATTTATATTGCAGTTGCACTTTAGCATGTAGTAACATATCATCAATGATCATGTTTTTTTTACAAAACATAACAGAAAGCAAATAACAGATGATTTTTAACCTACAGAGAACTGAGCGCTAGCTAAGCGGCAAGGAGGAGTTCAGTTTGTTCAACCCGCGCACCCGCGTTCGAATCTCACCGGGACTCCACTGGGATGCTATCTGTGTTTAATCGTGGAGAGGTCTCACTTCTACTCCCTTTGTCTCAAAATGTAAAGCGATTTTTACGCTAGTACTCCGTCCGTCCACAAACAAGTGTCTTGTTATGAGCGGCATATACTACAGCCCAGGCAGTTAGGGGCCTGACTCAGTTATCTTACAGCCCAATTATATCATTAGGAGAATTATACAAACTCATATAAGGACCGTTTTGAGATTAAGCAAGAAGCAATCATATAATTGCTCGGCTTCCTTAGGGAGCCGGGAGACCTAACCCTAGCCGTCTCCTCCCCTGCGCCATCTCCCTCCTGCCAAAGCCGCCGCCGCCTCCACCACGCAAGGACGGCGCCCAGCCGCCGGCCGCCGCGCCCTCGCCCTCCTCCATCCTTCCCCTACAATCTTCATCCTAGAACCGGCAGAACCCTAGCTCCTAACACCTTGGTATCAGGTAGCTCAGTTCCGATCATGTCTTCGCCGTCGCCCATCCCAACGCTTCCGCTGCCGACCGTCACCACCGCGACGCTGGCCCTCTCCACCGCGCCGTTGGCCTCCCCGTCCGCGCCGCTGGTCGCATTCCCCGACGCAGCCACCACCCAGATGACGGTGCCCTCCACCGCACCACCGGCCGCCGCCTACACCCCGGAGATCACCGGGGTCCTCAACGATCTCGTCACAGCCGTCCAGGGGATCTGCCTCTACTTGGCCGGGCCCTACGAGCTGCCGCCGGCCGCATCACCAACCATCGCCACCGGGCCGATGCTGCTGCCGTGGCAGTCGCCGCACCCGGCGGCCTCCGCCGTGCTCGCCGGGCCGCTGCAGCCAAAGCTGCACCTACCGTCGCCACCGCGTTGGCAGCCCTGGCAGCCGCCGCACCCAAGGGCCACTGCGGTGCTGGTCGGCCCGCTACATCCCCCGCTGCAGCTGCAGCCAACCCCCGCCACCGCCCCGCTCTGGCCACAATGGCCGGCCGCGGCCATCGCGGCGCCCGCCGCCTCCGCCGTTTCCATGCAGCAGCAGCTGCCGTTGCAGGCGCCTCCACCGCCAGCATCGGGCTAACTACGACCGTGCCGGCGGGCGTGCCGATTCAGCAAGTGCAGTTCCCGCCCTCGCCGTCACAGCTTCCGTCCTGGTTGGCCGGGACGTCACCGCTGCCAGTCTACACCATGGCCGCGAACCAGCCGACGCCCTCCCTATCGTACGGCGGGCCCTCCGACTCCGCGGGTTTCCACGCTGGCTTTGACGGGCCACCGCTTTCTAGCGGACCACCGGTGCACACCGGACCGACGCCATCCTCTTTGCTGCTCCGTACCACCGAGCCGTACGCAGATGGCAGTCATGCTCAGACACCGCCGCGCTTCGCCAAGCTCGACTTCGCCACCTACGACGGCGCCGAGGACCCCCTCCACTGGCTCAACTAGTGTGAGCAATTCATCCGCGGGCAACGCACGCTCGTGTCGGAACGTATCTGGCTCGCCTCATATCACCTTCCGGGCGTCGCACAGATGGCCATGTACTACGCCCGCGCGTTCAAGCGCCGCGCGGTGGCCATCCAGCAGGCATCACCGTCCCGGGCCACTAGACCGCCAACCGAGCCGGACGTTCCCGCGCAGGGTTGGCCTGCTCAGGCTTCCACGGCACCCCTCGCCGCGACCGCGGCGTGCCCGTTCCGCCGGCTCACCTCGGCCGAGCAACTCGAGCGTCGTCGCCAAGGGTTGTGCTTCAACTGCGACGAGCCCTACGTACCCGGCCACGTTGCCCGCGACTCTTCTATCTGGAGGCTGCGGACTAGATTGAGGCCGACGCCACCGCCGCCGAGCTCGGCAACCTGCCCGCCCAAGCTGCCGCGGAGGTGTTTGGCGACGGTTGATCACCTCGAGGAGTTCCGCAAGCGCTTCCCCGCCTTCCAGCTCGAGGACAAGCTGTTTGTGCACGCGGGGAGAAATGTTATGAGCAGCATATACTACAGCCTAGGCAGTTAGGGGACTGGCCCGGTTATCTTATCGTGTTAGGGGCTTAGCCCAATTATATCATTAGGAGGATTATATAAACTCATGTAAGGACCCTTTTGAGATTAAGCAAGAAGCAATCATAATTGCTCGGCTTTCTTAGGGAGTCAAGAGACCTAACCCTAGCCGCCGCCTCCCCTGCACCATCTCCCTCCTGCCAAAACCGCCGCTGCCTCCACCGTGCAAGGACGGCGCCCAGCCGCCGGCCGCCCCGCCCTCGCCCTCGTCCTCCTCCATCCTTCCCCTACAATCTTCATCCTAGAACCGGCAGAACCCTAGCTCCTAACATGTCTCAACTCGAGTATAACTTTATGCTAAGGGAGAAATCTGTCCCCCTTTAGCCATGTTTCTTTAGATTGTTAACCTATAGACAGAGAAAGTGAGGGGCAAACATAAATCTCATGAGGTGGGCACTGAACTGCAACCCGCAGAGAGTTGAAAACTGTTGAATAACTAGTGACAGTGACATACCATCTCTTAATCCGTTCAGCACTGACAGCACCGGCTCTAAACTGAGCACGGATAGCATTGCCGTCCGCAACCATTCGTTCAATTCGAGGAAACAGAAACAGAGGATTTATTCAGAAAACAGAAGCAGAGGAGGGGGGATCTCACCATCACGATCCCTCAATTTCTCGACGAGGGCAGCACACGAGCGGGCCAGCTCGCCGGTAAACGCAGGCCGGACGGAGCTTCGGACGCATAGCCTGTCGCCGCTGCCGCCGCCGCCGCTGCGGTCGAGGTCATTTTTAGGGGGGTGGGGCGGGAGACGTGGGGGCTGCCGCTGCGACGGCGAGTGGGTGCGGGCCTGCGAGGTAACGAAAAGAAGTCGGGGAAGAGAGAAAACGGGACAAGTGGGATTTTGTGCTTCAGATCTGCTCGAAATGGGCTCGGATTCGAGATCTAATTCAGCATGCTCTTTCTTTGGCGAACGATAGGGGTCAAATCGCCTGAATATATTTATAATAAAATCCCCCTATTTTCCAAAAACAAATGATCATCAGGTGCTTAAAAATGTTCCTGGATAAAAAAATATTTATGTATTTATAAAAGGAGTTCGAGCTTTTTGAAAAAGAGTTTCTTTAACATAGTGCAAACACAGGCACTCATAAACACACACATACCCTCACATCCATGAACGGACGCACGCACACTCTACCCGCACATCCTACCCCTTTGAGCACCTTCAAGAGAATGAGCCAACACATCACCTTGAGATTGACGAAGTCCCACAGACACGCTCGTAGTCGTCGGGAACTTCTCCTTCCACTGAACTCATATTATCGGAAGGCCTGAAATAAATTCAAAAAAATGCAACCAGTAATGTCAAGTCTAGAACTTCAACTCTTATGTGTTGGTTCCATCACGAAAAACCTAACCATCTGAGCTATGCTCAGTTCGCTGAAAAAGAATTATTTATGCATGTGTTTTTTTAAGTATGTATTCATGTCTTGATATATGTACACATACTTTGAGAAAAACTTTCAAGCTTTTGTCCCAAAAAATAAATGCGAAAGAAACGATATATAAGAAAATAATAAACGAATATTAAAAGTGAACAAAAAAATAGAACACATGGGAGAAAAAGTAAAAGGAAAGGACAATTTTGAGACATAAAAATCACGCGCCACTACTTTATGAGTTGATGTAACTATCATGAATTCTAGACCACGATCCTTGTCCTGCTAGGCCTGGCCGACCGGTCCTGCCTTGAAAGCCGGCAACCGGTCTAGGTTTACGCTTAACTTTCCCGCCCAAGGCTTAGCTCAAAACTGTGTGAGAATCTGAAATGGCCTAAGTCTATTTTGCTTAAAAATAGATAATGGATAATAATAATACATTTTTATATCCTAATAAAATATTTAGTCAAATGAAAAGGTATTGTTTATTGTGTTTTGGCTGGGTTTGGCATTTTTTTAGAACGGGCTTTGGTAAGAGTATCTGCAATCAGACCCATCAAACACTCGTCAAACATCCACATGGATAGCCGGGCACTACCCGGGCACAAAATCGTCATCCAATCAGACCTCCTAGAGTCGGTTCAAACATTCAGGCTATCTGGCACCCCTCAAACTGAGCTTATATGTAGGGCAGATTTGTCGCTGCTTAGACACGCTCGGGCGCATCGACCACGTCGGGTTGGCCTAACCCGATCCCACACATATCTCGTCCCTATCCACACCACGGACCGAACCCTAGCTAATTTTGCCACTCCACCCCACTTCCAGTCCATTCCGCCCAGCTCTTTTACGGTAATGTCCGACCATATCTGGCAGCAGACTTTGAGTCCGTTAACTCTAGACCCGTCCACTGGGACCTTGTCTCCTATACGGACAAGGAGATAGCTGGCCCACTGGCTCTTCGCCGGCCCCAGGAGGATAGCCAAGCTCCTGCAGTCGTAGCCATTCCAGTTTGAATCAATAGCCGAAAGCTCGCGGTGAAT